AGTAGGAACTGTAAGTACATCACATATGTTAACTAACAATCTTTATAACAACTCTGAAATACTATGGAATAATAAGATAACCCCTGTTTTATGTATGAAGAAGCTGAAGGCACATGAGATTAAAAAAGTGGGTCCAAAATTACCAAGCTATTAAGCAGAGAGCTGGAACTTGGATTGAGAGACTACTTCCAAGTGATACACTTGTACCTCCCTAGCTCAGTGCTCAGGAGACAACACTGAAGATTCAGTACAGACATACATTGAATACATGCAGTTGAATACATATGGTGGACTCAAACCTATCAGTCTCACCAGGTGGGAAATGAGATGACCCCCCCGCCCTGCCCCTTCTTACTCCATTCCATTCCCTCCATTTCTCTTTGGCAAAGCTGATGCCTGAATAAAGAATACAACCATACAATCATTTCCAGATGCCATTAGGCAATAGTACATGGTTTCTGAACAAATAACTCCGTGGAGCCATTCTTGAGACTTCTATAGCAAATAATGCTTAAATAAGAGAACAAACCAAAAGTGCTGACAGAAAATACATGCAGCTTCTGTGCCCAAACATAGTCTTTCTGCATTGTGCTACTGGCAATGAGAATGGGTGATAAACAGGTAGGAGAAGGAATAGACTGCAGTACAGGTGCAATGAATTCAGTTCCTATGTCCCCCTACCTAACAGACAGCATCGGGTAGGGGGACATAGGAACTGAATTAAATCAGTGTTTATCAAACATCAGCTAATCTTCATGGGCTTCCTATATGGTTGACTTAATTTCATAAAGCAACTAACTTGTTTTTTAAGCTAAGCATCATTATAAGACATGCATATACAACTGCAAATTTGTTGATTTTTTTTCTAACATACACACACATATGTAACTCTTAAATTTTTTTTTAAGTTTATCACTATGTTACCCAAAATGATCTCATGTAGCATCAGTAGCATTTGGGACTCACTTATAAATAAGAGGTGCTATGTAGAATTGCTCAGGACTGAGAGAGAGCCTTAGAAGAAAGAAGGTAAAATAAAGCTTATATGTGCTGTAGAGGGTCCCATGAGAATGGGGCAAAAGGGAGAGTTAAAAGGTCTGGAGTAGCTAAAAGCCATAAAAACAAAGGGTGTCTCTGTCTTCCACAGCAAGGGCAAACTAGTAACAAGGGCAGTACAGCCAATCAGCAAGTACTAAGGAATGACCAGAGACTGTTAGGTCAGTAACCCCTGCTCAGACTAGAATCCACCGCAGAGAAGGAAGTCTCTTTTCTTTGTCTTCATTTCCTGGGGAGGTGTGTGTGTCTTTTTCTAAACAAGCAAACACCTTCTGTAACACTTGTTGTGAAACAAACATTGCCTTCTGTTCACTTCTTCAGTCTGTCTACTTGCTACTAGGAAACAGAAATAAGGGACAGATTTTTGACTGAACGCAGTATCATTCTAATTATCAAGAGTTGGGAACATTCTGCAGTGGGGATGCATGAAATAATGTGATATAAAAAGTCATAGAATGTAAGATTTAAAAAAAAAAGAAAAGAAACTGTGGGAGGTAAACACCATTGAGGCCCAGAGACTTATCTTCTCATGTAAAAATATTTGACTAAGATGCATATAGATTCAGAAGAACAACAACATTAATACAGAGTAGAATTTTTTTAAAGCCTTGAAGTACTAGGTTGAACCTTATAAAATTGCCAATATTTGCTGTTTTCAACCAACAGATTAGACAATTTCATGGAGCCAAAATATATGAACACTAAGCTAGCAGGTTGACAGGGGTGAAACCAATGTTGAGAGGGAACCACATTTTATTCCATACATGTCTGAGTTATCTCTTTTTACGAGGAACATGAGCAGAATATATTCATGTATTACCTGGTTTCATAGCAAAAACAATCACTACTAGCTAATAACAAATTGACTAGATTAGAAAATAGATATTTTTAATTGATATTGTCTACAAGGAAAGTTTATTTTAATTACTGTGATTGCAAACAAGATATACCAATTGTCATAGAGAGTACCTCTTGCTTCAGCTATCTTTGGTGGCTTCCTCCCTAGGATTGCTGGGGTCAATGCGGTTCTGCTGCAAGCAGCAATAGTAGTCAGAGGCAGCTGCTGCCAGCTAGAAGCCAAGGTTCCATCAGCATGTCCTACTGAAGCAATTAGTCTCCTCTTTTATCTTCTAAGGAGACTGGATTTACATAGGGCACATATCTATGACTATATTCGTATGACGGAACACTCAACTCCTTCCTCACATGCATATTTTTTTTTATGTTTTCTTGTAAATTCTTGCAAATTTATATTTTTCAAGGGCAGGGCAAAATCTATTTTTGTTTGCAATCATACCAACTATAGAAATAAGGCTTAAAAGTAAGTATTTTATTATGATAAACTTAGATTTAATACATATTTTAAAATAATATTTAAAAATAAATCAGGGATTTGAGGCCTAGGATACCGTGATGTAAATAAGTATTCTCTGCAAGTATTTTAGCTACAAAGAAACATTTCTACATTTTGATTTGAGCCTCAACTATGTCAATCATTCTAACTCTGAGTTACAAATTTATAAAATTGTAAAACTGAGCAACGATAAATTCTGTAAGGAAAATATAATAGGTAGATGTCCCTATATTGTAACATTTTTTTCAAGACAAATGAATGAAACATACTTATTACTGCAAAGTAAGTGATGTTTAGGCAAACTCCAGGTACAAACTCTTATGTATGATAAATAGCCTAAGGAAACGTTTGCAAGTCATTTAAATTAACAAGGGACATTTTAAAGGTCTGGGGGTAGGGAGTGGGGACATTGTCAGCAGCTCAAGAGGATCCTCTAAAAGAAAGGTGTATTTCCTGGGCTTTCAAATAGGCTAAACAAAATACAATCTTGTTTAGAGGATGCACTAGAGGAAAACCACTATTAATTATGCAAACATGTTTTTGATGGGTAAAAGAATTTGAGAATGACTCAGCAAGAGATTTCAAAACCAAACACTTCTACCTGCTTATTGAACATGTTATTTCCAGATCTGCTCTCTTTTCTATGACCTGTGGTTAGAAGTTTGAGATTTATGCAAGGGAGGCTCCATCACTTTAGTGGCTTTCTGAGAAAGCCCCAGTTTTGCCAGGAACATGGAATCAGTCAGTTCTATCCAGCCCTCCCATCCTTTTACTCTTAGTTTAAGTTGGAAGTAATTGATACCTCTTCAACTTTAGCCTCTAATTTTTCTTTAACAAGCATAAAACCTAGTTAGATCCCCTAACCAAACACTGGGTCTACCTGTCAAAGGTTTGTGTGTTTGTGTGTGTATGTGTGTGTGCATGTGTTTATGTATGTATGTATGTGTGGATGCGTATGGTTGCCTTCATATTTCCCTCTAGATGAGACTGTATGTTGATGGTAACTCAGAAAAGGGGGAGACATTTAGAAGTCAAATTAAGATGTAAAGGCAACAGAATATTTTTTACAAGTCACTGCTAAAGTGACAGTTCAAGATTTAGTTGGAAAAGAGAAGGTTCCCAATCATGAGTCCTTTAAATTTGGGGGAGGAGAAGTCCTCTCACCTATTTTGGAAACTACTTGCAGATGTAG